ATTATATTCTTTTAAAACTGGGTTTACAAGTTTTTATATGAGCTTTTGTTGCCTTTTTTGGTCAAATATTGAACATTTTTAGAGGATATAATTTGTTCTTTTAGCCACTTGGCAACTTATGCATCATTCAGATATAAAATTCAGCTACTTTCAGCTTCCTTGAACAAACTATTTCTCAGCTACTTTCAGCTGTTTTGTCATCTGTTTTGTGCTTCTTTCAGATTCTTACTAACTACAACTTTTTTTGTGCTTCTAACTTATTTTCTGCTAATTTCAGCTTACTTATACATGTTTCAGCTTTTTCAGCTACCATTTAGCCGTTTTCAATGCTAATTTTAGCTTGTTCGGTCAGTTTGACAATTTGGCACTCGTTTTAACTTTTTTAACCTAATTCAGCAAAATTGTGCTCTCTCTCCACTTCCTTGGCAATTTCAGGGTCCTTCTGCTTTTTAGCTACTTTTCAGCTGTTTTTTGCTAATTTCAGATAATTTTCACTTCTTTGTGCTCATTTCTGCTTCTTTACACCTAATTGGGCAAACATGTTCTTTCTGCTGCAAATTTGAACATATTCTACCTTTTTAGCCAATTTCAGCTGTTCTCTTATACATGCAAGTGTTTTGCGGTAAGTTCTGCTACTTTCAGCCTAATTAACTTCATGTTAATTTCAGCTTGTTATGCTTTTCAGCTATTTAGCTGTTTTATGCTAATTTAAGCTTTTTCAGCAAATTCCACTTTTTTTTTTAGCTCATTTCAAATCTTTTCACTACCTTTTGGTAGTTTAAGCTGCTTTCTGACTTTTCAGCATTTTTGTTAGCCAATTTTAGCTTTTTTAAGCAAAATTCCTAATTTTTGTGCTCATTTCTGCTTTTTAAGACCTAATTCAGCAAATACGTGTTCTTTCTGCTTTCCCCTGCTAATTTAGGCTTTTTTTAAAGGTAATTTCATCCATTTTTTTTAGCAAGTTCTGCATTAAAACAGGAAATGCAATCTCTTTAGAAGCACCTGTGGTCAGCAGTCAGTCACAAATAAAATTTTCCTTATTTTTTTTGTTTAATTAAAATATAAATATATCAGTTTGACTACAAGTAATACTTTTGCTCCAACAAGGTAATTCTAAAAGAACTATTATAAAAAAAAAAAAAACAAAAAAAAAAAAAAACTTGTAGCTTCAGGAGCAAAACCAATATTTTGTGAACTTATCTTGGTCCAGGTTCAAAGGTCAAAGTGAGCCGTTCATTCAATAAAGAAACACTGGAGAGGATTTTCATCACATTTTATCAAGCATGGTCGTGAATGGACAGAAAGAGCCAGTAATGCAGCTGAATACAGAGTTTAAACTGGGTTTGTTTAAAAAAAAAAAAAAAGAAACCTAAAAAAAAGAAAATTGCACTCAGCTTTACAACATTTTGAGAAAACCATCCAAAATAAACAATAATAATCATCATGGTAGCGGTCAACAGAATTATCTCACCACTGAAAGCAGATGACTGGAGTCTGAATTTTATCCCTCCTCAATAAGTCCAGGGCAGCAGATAACATTATTCATACGCTTCAATGGCTGGAGAATTATAAAAATAAGAGATACTCTAGCCCTGCTTTTCCTAAGAAACAACTGCTTCACAACAGTTATCCTTCACCCCTACTAGACCAGACTACAAGCCGATAAGCAATAAGATCAATAAACTTCCTAACCTAAACATCAAACACTTTATTCTGCTGAGTCCACTAAACTGGACGCCTAAAGATTAAGATTATAGTCAGTGACAGCTGATTTAAACCAACGCAGTTCAACATGATCACATTACTCCTTCTTGGTTTTTTTTAAATTAAAACTATGATCAATAACTGATGATCGATAACTGGCCGTGAGACCACGTGTGGAGAGTCGGTGCTGAAAATCGGAGCTAATACAATTCAGACTGCAGAAGAAGAAGTGATGAAAGTGCATTTTGACGTATTCACTCTGGAAACTAAGCTGTGGAGCTGGACTGTTAATATCTGAATGAACGATGGAGGTCTCAGAAAGGTTTAGGAGGAGGAGAGGGGGAGGGGCATCAGATGTCCGTTTGGCTGCTCCCGTACACGCTCTCGTCACTGTAGGCGATGTAGAGGAAGAAGTCCTCCTCGTGATGCTCCTGAGGAGGACAATACGTTGTTAGACGTTTAATGCAACATGAGGCAGAACAAACATTAAACACAGACGCCGAGGGGTTTCAACAGTGAAGGTTTGTAGTTTACGAGACGAGTGTCTTCTTGGACTGGAACTGAACAGAGAATGGAACCTTAATGATTTTTGGTGCACGACATTCAAGTGGGTAAGAGCTAAAACTTTTTTTAATTGTTGGAGGTGGAACAGAGTGACTGTTTCTGGAAATTAGAGGGAGCAATTTTATCCACCAACAGGACCAGTGGTGGAGCCAGAGGGTGGCCATTGGTGGCCTTTACCACCATAAATTAATCTTCTTTTCACATGTTGGCTGACTGGAGTCCTGTTTGGGTTTCTTTTCTGCTTTCAGGAAGGCCCAGTTAGGATATCCACATTGCTCTAGAGTCTGTCTTGTGTGGGATTTCTCCTTCTGCCTGGCTCCTGAGTCAGTGGAGACGCTGTCTGCTCTGTGGTACAGAGTCCTGATGACTCCTAACTTGTGCTCCAAAGGGTGATGGGAGTCAAACTGCAAATACTGGTCTGTGTGGGTGGGTTTGCGGTACACCTCAGTTTGCAAATGTCACCCGACATTTTGACCACACATGGAGGCAGCTCAGACCTGTTAACACGACGAGCGGTTTTAAATCGTTCTTAACGACAAGTCTGAGTGAGTCACAAAACCCGAGCTGGGACTCTAACCTGGTACAAGAGTCCCATGGTGGCCGAGGTGGGTGGAATGACGTTGTTTACGAAGAAGAAGAGCGCGTCTTCAGCTCGCAAGTGGATTCTTTTCCGGATTAGGAAGTAAAACTGACCCACTGTGGAGGGAGAAGAAAAAATATTAAATATAAAAAAATGTATTAGGCTTAAAAAAAAAAAAAAAGAATAATAATAAAGATTACCTGTCAAGTCAGAGGGGACAAGATATTTCTTCTTGTCCAGATCTCCTATTCTCGCTTTAGGAGCCTTCTCCACAATTACCTAGAAGGAAGGAAGGAAAAAGAAAAACGAGTGTTTTTAATAAAATCTATGGAACTTTTCACTGAACCACAGATGTGGGTGTCCGACTGTCCGGACCAGAAAGAAGAACGAGTCCGACGAGAGAGATTCAGAAGAAAACGCCAAAGAAACTCAAATAGTCCCTCGCTACTTTGCAGTTTTTCCAAAGTAAGATTTAAGACGAAGAGAAAAATAAATGTATAAATAAAAATTTGTACACGACACGATTGTCAACTTTAATATTACTCACATGATCGGGACAGTACTGCATACTGTACTGTAAGAAGTTAACGAAAAAATAATATACTTCAGACAGAAGCTGCCATTTGTAGTTTACTTACAATAAGCCTACGCTGTATCCCAGCTCATAAGGACTACATTTCCCAGAAGCCAACAGTGCTCCACCCAGAAGCCCTGTTGTCTTCTGCTGAAATACATAGATGGAAAGTTTTGATCTGATAAAGTTTGGTTCTTTACAGTGACTTCGGCACCCAGTGGATGCAGAGCTGCATGGAACCCACCAGGAACCGGACCTCCAGACCCATCAGCGAATCTGAGCACAAGGACTTCTGAGCAGGGAGGTGCCGTCGTAGGTCTGGCTACTCTCTGGAGCACACCGGGACTTAACTTAAATACTAAAATAAATGTAACGTCGCTACTTTGCTGATTTTCACTTATTGCGGAACATAACCCCTGAAATAAATGAGGGACCCTACTGTATGTATTTACATTAAAAAATAAATAAACTGGCTTGGTGAGAAAAATATTGCCTAAAATATAAATCTATTTTAGGCAATATTTTTCTCTAAAAATAGAACGTGTAGAGGAGAATGTGAGCAGAAATCAGACAGAACTCCTTTGAGCTGAATGATTCATCAGCGAGCAGAAAGTCTCAACTCGACTAAAACATAAACATCAACATGGATTTCTATGCACTCCTGAAAGTTTGCACTTTATTTAAATTTTTTTTTATCTGAATACCCAACATTAAAATGGAAAAACAAGCAGAGATCTTTGGACATTCCTTACACATAATTACAGGATTTACCTTTTAAGTTTTATTATGGAACCACCTCCCATCACCTCTGTCCATTTTTTAAACATTTTTACTCCCTGGCTTTTGACACTTCCTGTTTTTACAGTTTTATTCTGTAATGCGTTTAAATATTCTTGATTTTAAATGTACAGCACTTTGTTGCAGCTGTGGTTGTTTTAAAGGGCTTTATAAATAAAGTATTATTATTATTTAGACTAAAATCATCTTAAGATGAGAAACGACAGTTGTAGAAGTTTCGATCAAATCTTAGAGAAAAAACAAAGATTATGACAGATTAACGCTCATGTGTCGTGAATGACTCTCAGCAACAAGATTTTAATGCAAAATCTGAACTTTTGCATTCATGTGTTGGTCAGTGTGGATTAGCGGTGGCAGCCATCTTGAACTGGGTTAAAAAGTCAATCAGTCGTGGACTTGAAGCCAATTCGTAGCTCCTGGACGTTTCATGAGATATTCTGCTAACAGACAGGTCTTAAACAAAGATCAGTTTGTGCTCAGAATGTGATCGGGATCAGCCTCAACGAACGACTGCCGCACCAAGACTGTTAAAGTTTGTAAACACAGATAAGCATTAAAAGTTAGAGATGTGCAGATCATCATCCATAAACACGTTTTGAATTATTAGATTGAAACCAAACGGCTCCGGATCACTTGATTCCTCAGTCGATCGTTTGGGCAAACCTCCTCCTCCGCAGCTTCACATTTATCTAGTTAACAACCTGGTTTTGATGAATAACGTGTTTATAGAAAGTTATCATTTATATTCACATTTGTGTGTCTGACGACACCAGACACAGAAAGACTGTTGGTGATTAGCTGTGGCGGCCATCTTGAATCAGGCTGATTCCAACTGTAATCTAATGCAGTGGTCCTCAAACTGGGGGTACCTGGACGTCCGCAAGTCGGTGCTCCTGGGTCCGCAATTAATGTTTTTTTCCAAGCAAGTAGATGTTTAACCTGCTAAAACACACCAAAATGCAAGAAATCACATCTACTTTATTCAAAATTATCTGGGATCCCCCAAACCCCAGCTATTTGTGTTCATTCCAGCATGGATCAGTTTAACAAACTTATCCCAGTTACTTGGTACGACCACTGCTGTTAAAGAGAGTTCTGTAATAATTTGAAGAGGCGATACGTTTATGTTCATTATGTGAACAGGCAACGTTTTAAAGTGGTTTGTGACGCCGTTAATTTTCTCAAAACTGTCATTTTTGAAAGTTAAAATTAAAATTTTTGTTGTTTCTTGAATGAAAAACACCCCATGTTTAAAAAGTTTAAAAATTGTATTAACTCTATTAACGAACAGGTCTTAAGTATTTGTTAGTTATGTCCATTGCATTAAAGAGACAAATTGAAGACATTTAATAAACATGAGTTAGGAGGGGAGTCCCTGCTCTAATGTTCATTTAACGATTTCATTAAAATCCATCCAGTGATATTTTGTTAACAGAACTGACTCCAAGTCTTGCGCAATCCGCTTGCACTCAGATTGTATGTTTGGTTGGGATGACTCTCAGCTACTACCAAACCGGCGTTTAGCTCAGAATCTGTAAAACTAATATAACTTAGTTACAACCATTGGAACTGGTTCATGAGTTGTTCTTTTTGCTAAACAAACAGCAGCCTCCATGTTTGTTTGTTTATTTGTTTACGGACTGACAGCAGATGTAAACTAAACGTCAATGAACGGACATGACACGCTGACCCGGACAGTCTTGGTGGATCACGATCCGAACCCCAGAGTCGGCTGGACGGCTCCGTTCAGAACCCAGAACCACGTAAACAAGCAGCCTGCTCGTTTGTTTACACGGAGCATCTGAAGGAAGGCTGCTGTTTGCGTTTAAATATGGAGCCCACAGCAGGAACCCACCAGACCGACAGAAATATCTTTAACACTTGAAGCATTGGAGGCTTTAAATAAGCCCGCACCCTGTTTATTTACACCAGGTTTCCGTGATTACCCGGCCTGCTCTGCGGCCGCACAGCCTAGCCTCTGTCGTCGTTAGCCAACTGCGTTTATCGGCGAGCTAACGCACAAAAATCACATCAATTACATGAAGCTTTGATTCAGAATCATCACTAGTTTTGTACACGACTTCAAAAATAGTTATAAACATTAGGAGACCACAAATATCCTGTAAAAACCTTGAACTCGGATATCCTGCTAGCCCACGCTAACAGCTAGCTAACGCTGACAGCTACTTACAGGAACCCTGTCCGGATACTTCTTCCTTATCTTCTCCCCCTCGGACCTCCTCTTCTCGAATGGGTGCTCCTCTTTATACTGAAACTTCATGGTGAGGGGATGACAGACGACAGGTCGGTCCCTCCTGAGGCTTGTACGGCAGCTGTGAGCTCAAAGAACGACTCAAATCGCTGACACACTCGCAAACACAGGCGATGCTAGCTAGCTTTAGCGACACAGCTGGGGGGGGTTTTCTAGTGCGACTGCGGCGGAGGGATACAATAACAACACGTACGCGGTCTAGTTCGTAGGGCCTAACTCGACTTCTTTCTTCCAAAACAAATTCGAACGTCTTGTTTTTATGCTACGTGAATTGTAAAGAACGCAATAGCTCAGAATTTGGCGTTTTCTAATGTATCATTTTATTTTTAACGAAGCCGTGCGCGGATGAAGACGACTGGCTCGTGGGAGTGGCTCGTGAGGCGGCGCCTGTCCTTGTCATATGACCGAGGCCCAGCAGCAGCAGCAGCTGAGAGAGAAAGCTCCTAAAACGTGTTAAATTTACTCTCACTAATTACAAACACCAAGGTAAGACAGTAGGAACAAAGTTGCACACATTGTTTTAAAATTAAGCTCTTAAGATTTTAAATTAAGCTTTGCAACCATGGAATCACATGGAGTGCTCAGGTAGTTTGGTCAAAATTAGACAAGTGTGGGATTTAAAACATTTTACAAACAGTGTCGTGTTCCACAGAAAGCACAATGATTAATTTTCATCCAAGAAAAACAAATTAAAAAAAATATTCCTGGTAGTTCGCAGTCTTTTTGTCTCACCTAAATATCTAAATGCTGTAAAATGGTGATTATGGGATTATTTAATTTAACAAGAGTGTGATTTTGGAGAGATTTGATGGATTATGTTTAAGGATGAATCCCTGGTTGCTGTTCATGATTGTTTCCTGAACTCACCAAAAGCACAAACCAGCAACCTGTTTAAATCTTGACTGCTCATGTGACCTCCTTGAGGTTTTGAATCATATGACAGCTCATATCCAACATCCTGTGCTGATAATCCAGGTAGATCCAGAGGACCTGACTTAACCTGGTGAGAGATTTCATCCAAGTGACACTTTTGTAAAGAGAACAGAGTGAAACTAGAGGAAGTGCATTTCATGCGAAAATGCAGGGTGAACGCTTATTGCTCAAGAACTTGCTGAGAAACAATTAGCTAAAAACATGCTGAAATGTAGCTGAAATAAGAGCAGAAGAAAGCCGAAAGAACATACTTGATGAATTTGGTTTAAATGCGCACAGAAATTAGTAAATTAGCTCTAAAAGTTGAAATTAACTAAAAATAGCTGAAAGGTAAGAAGAAGCTTAAATTACCAGAGGGAAGTAAAGAGAGCACAATTTTGCCCAATTAGGCTGAAAGAAGCAGAAAAGAGCACAAAAAGTGGAAATTATCTGAAAAGATTTTTAAAACAAAATAACTGAAAATTAGCTAACATAGTACAAAGAAGCTTAAATTAGCAGTAGTGGAGAAGGAAGTGGAGAGAGCACACTGTTGCTGAATTAGGCTGAAAAAAGCTTAAATGAGCGCTAAAACTGAAATTAGCTGAAAAAGCTAAAATGATCATTAAATAGTAGCTGAAATTGCTTACACTGGCATAACTAAGATGAATAAAGCACTTGTTATGCTCTATTTATCTTAGTTATGCTAGTTTCTCATTTCGTAATTAGCAGGAAGAAGTTAATTAGGCTGAAAGAAGCAGAAATGAGCACAAACAAGTGGACATTATCTGGAAAAACATGAAATTAGCAAAAACAACAAATAAAACCCAGCTGAAAAGTAGCTAAAAAAAGCAGGAAGAAGCTTACATTAGCAGAAAGAAGTGGAGAGAGCACACTGTTGCTGAACTAGGCTGAAAAAAGTTTAAAAGGTGGTGGTGGGGGGGGGGGGGGGGGGGGGGGGAGTGGAAATAGCTGAAAAGGCTAAAATAAGCATAAAAAAAAGCTAAATAGTAGCTGAAATAGCATAAGAGGCTGAGAAGCATAAATAACCATAAGGTAGCATAATGAGCTGAAATTAGTAGAATGTTAGAAGCACAAAAATGTTGTAGTTAATGAAAGTCTAAAAGGAGCACAAAACAGCTGAAATTAAGTCAATTAAACTGAAAGCAGCTGAACCAGAACAAAATAGGAAAGGAGCAGTAAAAATTTGAAGGATGTAAAAAGAGCTAAATAAATCAAAAAGCTAAAGTTGCACCAATACCTTATAGCAGGATTGTCCTGAAAGAGCTGAATGTTTTGCTTTATGATTTGTGGAAATAGCACAAAAATTGTGGAACGACAAAGTTGCTGAAAAACAAACAGAAGAAAAATGGATCACAATAGAGTGAATGCTTCTTAAAGATTCACACTATTAAAAACTGCATCCCATTCAACAGTCTGCTGCAGCCTCATCATTAGTGCCGATAGGGCTGCTTTTATCTTTACAACTGTTTGTTTTTATTGCAGGGCAAATATAAAAGTATGTTTGACTCATCAGCTGGGAGAGAAAAAAATATATATAAGAGCAAAAACATTCTTAAAGTACCTGTAACATCAAATTATTGTAATAAATATGAATTTGTTTTCAGAAAGTTCACATATTTAATTCCTCCTGCTGAGATATTGTCATGCACAGTAACAGGAAGTGATGTCATACGCATGTGAACAGAGCGTTGCTTCGATGGCTGACGACTCAAGACAGCAGAGGAGAATCTGACGCTTCAGCTTGTCAGAATGTTTATGAAGCATTCACACTATTTTTGATCAGGTTTTGTTTTTTTGTACGTTTTTTTTTAGCATCTTTCTCATTCCATGTTTGTGCCATTTCAACAAATCATAAATCAAAACGTTCAGCTCTTTCAGGACAATCCATATGACGGCTTTTAGTATTTGTGCAGAAATCTTTAGATCTGTTCACAACCTTTTACTGCTCCTTTCACATGTTCTGGTTCAGCTTTAAAGATTTTCAGCTCTTTTGTGCTTCTTTCATATTCTTTCTGCTAACTAAAACATTTTTGTGTTTCTTCTAACGTCTTTCAGCTAATTTCTGCACGTTTCAGCTTTTTCTGATATTTCAGGTACTATTTATGTTTTATGCTAATTTGAGCCTTTTTGTTTTTAGCTAATTTCACATTAGTTGCACTCATTTCAACAATTTTCTGCCCAATTCAGCAAAAATGTGCTCTCTCCACTTCCTTCTGGTAATTTAAGCTTCTTTCTGCTTTTTTTTTAGCTACTTTTCAGCTGTTTTTTCCAATTTCAGCTTTTTTCAGATACTTTTCTCTCTTCTGATTTCTGCTTCTTTCAGCAATCGTGTTCTTTCTGCGTTCTTCTGCCAATATAAACTTGCTCTACCTTTTTAGCCATTTTGAGATAAATTAATATTTTTTATGGTAATTTCAGCTTAATTATGCGGTTTCTGCCATTTAGCCTTTTTTCTGCTAATTTTAGCTTTTTCTGCTATTTCCACATTTTTTAAAATCTAATTTCCGCTTTTTCCACTTTCCTTCTGGTAGTTTAAGCTACTTCTTGCCTTTCAGCTATTTTTTTGTTGCCAATTTAAACTTTTTTTTAGCTACTTTCCCAAAATTCAGCTTATTTAAACCTATTTCAGCAAATGTTATTTCTGCTTTCTTCTGCTAATTTCGGCTTGTTCTTCCAACGTTTTTAAGCTAATTTCAGCTGTTTCTCAGCAAGTTGTTCTGCAACAAGCATTCACATTGCATTTTCACAGGAAATGCAATTTTCTCTAGTTTAGTTACTGTCAGACGAAGAGTCAGCGTTCACATATTGTTTAATGAACAAAGACCAGAGTTCCCCTCTGATGTCACTTCCTGTTTACCTTTGGCAGCGCCATGTTAAAGACAACACGCTCGTTATGTGACGATGCTAAATTTCTTAAATATTAAGTTTTCTTCCACTTTATGTATTTGTAGGATATACAAAAAGTATATTGAGGGAAGCAAGAGATGTGGAAACAAACACGGTAAATGTCACTTTAATAGTCATTAAAAGCAGCACGATTGAAAACACCAACAACAACCAGATGTGTAACATCTGGAGTGTCAAACACTTACCTGTTTGTTCTTTTAAAGGTCTTTTGTTTAAACAAATCCCTGAAAAATAAACATGATCATCAAAATAATGTGAAAGCTGACATCAGCTTTAAAAAAAATGCACGAGGATTAAGAAAACCTCTAATAAGACAATCCTAAAAGAAATGCACAATTAGAATTTGTAGCACTTCTTTAAAAAATATATATATATTTAAGATTGTTTTCCCATCAGATCTCTAATCAAAATATTAGTTTGATTTGAATCTTGAATGGCGCAGTTCCCAACTTCACCACATGGTGGCAGAAAATCCCACAAACTGAATATTTCAGCTCATCTTTAGCTTATTTCCTCCACAACCTGCAAAACTTCCAGTTTAGGTTGAAAAGTAAAAATAAAGCGTTCGGGTGTTAATGTCAGAAGAAAAGAAGCTGATAAATAACGGTTTGATACTGACGAGTGTTTTATTAGTAACAGACATGGAGACAGAGCTGATAAGAAGCCGCTGTGAGCTCTGATGAGACGGGACGTTGTTCAGAGGGCATTTTAAGAGAGCTGGGGGGTAAAAACAGAGGGAGGGGTGCAAGTTTGAGTCAAACAGAAAAAAACAGAGGAAATTAAGTGCAATTCCCATGAGATGAAATCAGGATGGCATCAAATGACATAAAAAGGGGGGGGCAGAATTCATGTGATCATATATGATAGAAACAATCAGATATGGAAGCAGCAGCACGACAGTCCACGTCTCCTCCCGTTACGTTTTGTGTTACAACTTTTAAGTCTTTTCTCACAAAAAGTCCCATCAGGAGGTTTTGATTGTTATTGTTTGGGGGGGGGGGGGGGGGTGTTGCAAGCAAAATCCATCAATAACATGAATTAAATGAATCCATTTTTGTACCTCAGGAGTAAATCAGTGCTGGGATGAAATTAAAACAGTCTTACTTTGCTCTCTGCAGATCGACGAGTTCAGCAGCAGAAGAAGTGAAATGATCAAAGAGCAGAAAAACAGCGGAATTGTTTTTGATGCTTTTTTTTTTCTTAAATCGCCTCCAAGTGATCTGAGAAGTTTAATTTTTTTTAAAAAAGGGGCTCAGCAACTCTCCTCCATGCTCACCCAGTCAGTATCAGGAGCGGTAAGGCAGAGAGGCTCCGTTTGTTTTATTGAGGGGGAAAAAAAAAACAGATTCAAGAATGTGGAAACAAGAAAAAAAAAAAAAAAGAAGAAAAAAACCGACTCCCCTTCCCTCCCCAGTAGTTCTTTTTTGGGGTGGGGTTCCGGTGATCCTGTACTGTTCGTCCCGAGTTAGGCGGTGTCCCCCGACCCGCGTCTCTTGGAGAGACGTCCGAGAGGGCCGGTGGGTCGTCTGGGAGGGAACGATGAACAGGATGGAGACCAGCAGCAGAGAGGACGAGGCCAGACGACCCCCCCACGCACACACACCTCTTCTGTTCAGTCACCAGAGCCGGTGCTGGTGCAGGTTTCGACTGAGGACGGAGCGAACATCGGCGGTGAACCTGGGAGACAAACGGAGCACGATGAAGGAAACGCCCTCTGACAGCTAAAGTGTTAGCATCAGGCTAACTGCAGCGCCGACAACAGCTCGTTTCTTTACATTACGTGGTCTGGAACTAAACTTCTTCGGGTCTTTTAAAGCAGTGGTGGGCACAGCTAATCAAAAAGGTAGCTTCGCTAACCCATATTTCGCTAACTAAAAAAATTAGCTTAGCTAACGCTAACCGCTAAGATGACTGTCAGTCTGCTTCATACATCTTCGTCTCCTTCCAGTTGAAGCCGCGTCGACCAATCACGTCTTGTCAAACATAATTTAGCGGAAGCTAATTCTGCTAACAGTTTCCGAAGTTGTCAAAAACATTAATCTGCTAAACAAAAAAACTGTTCTGCTATTAGCCGTTAGCAGAACTGTGCCCACCACCGTTTTAAAGGTTTTCTTTTGGACATTTTCTGCTTTTTCACCCGTTTAATGTCCAGCTGTTGGACCTGAACGTCACAACGGTATTGTGCAGCATGTGGTTAAAAAAAAAAAAAGATCAGGAGGAACTAAATTAGCAGTTTCAGAGCTAAACAAAACGATCTGCGTCAGATGAACAGAATTGGAAAATATTCAAGAAAACATGAAAAAAATAAAAATCCAACAAAGACGTAAAACCACCGGTGAGAAGATTCATCTTCAGCTGGTCTGGTACATTTTCAGCTACAAGCTCTGTGGAATCATCTTTTTGGTGCCAAGGTGCTATTTTATGTGTCAAACGTAGCTTTTAAAAAACATTAAACAAGCAGTATGCCACTGTCCCCGGTCGCTGCGTGGTTTATTGATCTTGCAGTTTTTTTTTAATAAGTGTTCTTCTGGACCAACACCGAACAGGAAATGCAAGTACAGCCGTCCCTCGCTACTTCACGGTTCGACTTTCGCAGGCTCGCCCTTTCGCGGTTTTTCAAAGTAAGAGTTGGCATTACACACAATTGGCTGACTGATGGATGAGCCACACGATCAGCAAGGAATTTTTATTTAAAATTATTTTAAATGATTTAGCACCTGCTAAATTTTAAATTCCCCCTTTTCGCTCCGCGATGGGACAAAAAGCAAATAAAGTTTTGTAGTGAGAGGCTGCCGGTAACAAAGCGCCTACAGATTTGTTTTACAGCAGGTTCCTGGCCTAACTTCCTGTTATGTGTCCATGACACTTGAGCCTTTTTGCACTTGAACGCCTCACAGGTTCAGTGGCCTAAACAGACGACTCAGACACTGGACATAAAATAAAATAAATGAAACCTTCGACGGTCTAAAGAACCGTTGATGAAAAACCACTTTAAAACAAAGTGAAACTCATCTATAGATTCATTACACACACAGTGAAATATTTCAAGCCTTTATTTATTATAATTTCGATGATTATGGATCATCTATGCAATAGAAGAGTTTCACTTTCCGATATGATTTACTACAAACTTTCTCTCAATCTTCTAATTGTTGAGATGCAGCTGTACATTCAGCTTTGTAAACTACTTGGATAAGTCACAAGTGTTTGTGTCGTGTTTGTGTCGTGTTTGTGTCGTGGTGTTCAGTCCGTTACCTTAGTGCGTCCAGCATAGGCAGCAAGTTAAGAAGTGCTGTGTCACTAGGGTCACTGAACCAGGACTTGATGGGTATTGCATTGTCTGTAGGGCAGAAAACAGTCGGGTCAGAGGAGGACGTGATGTCATGCTGGCAGAGGTCTTCTAGTGAGAAAGGTTTACATGAAGCTCCACTTTATTCAGATTATTCCAAGTAAAAGGACACACAAAGCCAAAAAGACAGATTCAACCAGAAACACACAACGTCTCATTATTTGTCAAATTGTTTCAACGTAGCTGCCGTAGCTCATTTGAACACATCTGTCCTTGTCACAAGAACGTGTTCACAGCATAACACAAAGGTTAAACACACAACTCATGGAAGCCTCAAGGCACTTGAAGAGAATCCAACTCAACAAACAGGAGGGCTAAAAACTCAGCCGCTAAAATCTGGAACCAAACACTTCCCAAGTTCTGGTTCCTTCCCAGACCAATCATAGCCGTTTCACAATGGAATAAACCGTTATAAACCTTTATACACATTAATAAACCTTTTAAATAAGCCTTTATAAACCTTAATAAACCTTTTAAATAAGCCTTTATACACATTAATAAACCTTTT